ACCGTAGAGTAGGTTCAAAATGAGGAATCGACTCAGGGATACATTTCCGGAGATTCCCGACACATATTCGAATCAAGGTAAAACTTCGCTCTTGGTGTCTCCTATTGGAATCCGAACTCGACCTCATTCGTTCGCGGAATGTGCAACTCAGGTAGAGGTCGGAGCCACGATATGAAATCGATCGTTTGGCGGACGATCGAAGCGTGCCGGAAAGGGATCGCGAACAACTACGTAGCGCCGAGCATTCCGAGGTGAGCAATTCCCATTATTACCAACGTGTGGATCGACTGTAAATAAGTCACAGGAAGGGGGTTTGATCAGATCGTCTGCGACTGATCCACAAGATATAAAAAACATGGGTGTGTGTTGCGATGAGTAGATTGACGGGTGAATGAGGCCCGTTTCTTGATTACTCAGAAAACAGCGCAATGTCTTATCATTTCCGCGAGTCCAGCTCTGCCGTCATCTGAGGAGCGTAAAATCTCCGCGAATTATCGGCGGCTCATCTTCGCTGACAATACACAAATCTGTAATATGATCGGATCATCGACAGTGGGCACTGCGCGTTCTCGCCTCATACTGCAATGATTTCCGCTCCCTTCGTCCTTCCGACTCTTATTGGGTTGTACCCGAATCGCAACCTTTGGAATAAGGCTCGCGAAACGCTCTCTCCCGTTCTTGGATTATCTTCTCCAAGAACTTCGTTTTGTGAGCTCAAAAAGCCCCCTGACCGAACTCGCGGACGCCGTCCTCTTGACGGGAGATCCTGTCCACGAGGATTCGCGCCGAGACACCGAGAGGCCGTCCGATGCGAGGTCCGCGGCTGCATTCCGTCTTTCTGGGCTTTCTTGATCATGCTTCCGGTTGCCTGCTCCTCAATCGCCAGTCTTGCTGCTTACGCCTATTTTTCCCGGGACAATTCCAGAGGCCAAAGTTAATATTATAGATAGATGGACGTTATTTCTGATCAGAAAACGTTACGAGATGATGAGCTCCGACAGGCATATGAGATTTATTCGTGTAGCCGCCGGGAAGGAATGATCGATGAGCTCTTCAGTCCATAGGTAGGAACTCACAACCGCACCTTATAGCCGAGTCATCAAGCTGACTTTCTCTGCTAGATATGCTCCGTTATGATATTTCGCCCTACAAAGTTACTTTGGGTGATCAAGGTCAGAGCTGAGGTCGCTGAGCTCGGGTGCCATCGATGCTTCGCGCGAGATCCCCCACATTACTCGCGTTCTCATAATTATTATCATCGAGCGGAAATCAGAAAAAAGATATGTATAATGCGACGCGTATTTGGGAAACACCGCTGCTCGCTCCTTGGCTCTTTCCGGAAGGCGAGGACCTCATCGACGCTGATCAGAATAGTACCGGTATTCATCAGGATTCACGATAGACCCCGAGAGGACCCACAGTCTTTTGTCGACATACGTGGGAGAAAATATCCGGTGTGTCAGAATCCTGAACCGTTCGGGCCCAAAGTAGGGTGCCCACCTCTGCCGCTCAGAATTATCTATCCATTAAGCGGAAGCCGCTAAGCTCGCGTCCGACTTTTACCATCGGAGCCGGTTGGGAAGCCGAGTAGCAACAACATGCCTCTAGGTGGCGTATGAATATGCAAATGAGCACTTGCATCTGATCCGTGACGGGGAACAAGATCACGCTCCCATGTTTTTCGGAGTCAGACCTGTTCCATATGCCATGCATTCAGCGTTGTTCCCCGGGGAATCAGGTACCCTCCAGAGATCTCCAATGGGCATTCATGGCCTCCGCCCCGTAGGTGTTCATGGCTTGTGAGAGATGTCGGAGAAGCTGATGAGGAACTGGTGCTGGCTCCTGACTTCTGCTACGCTATTAGTCGTACCGGAAGCTCGTTCGGATGCGCGAGCTCCGTGGGCGAGTTCAGCCCGTCATCAGGCCCCTCGAGGGATAGTTCACCGTTGACCCAGACGATTCGATATCACGGGGAAAAAAAATATTCCAGCGCCGGTTGTTTCGCTTGACTGGCCGGATAGAGCCGATTCGAGAGCTCCCCATGCCTCGAATGGCTTCGAGCGCCAGTCCATCCTCCGTCGATACTCCTCGCTTTCTCTCTTTAGTCAAACTACATATCATTTAGCGGTGTGCTTTGTCTTGCCTGATAGGAATACTCGACCAACTCGAAGAGACTCCGCGCCCTAGACTCCGACTGTTGGAAGGGAAGTTCGAATGGAGAAGATTAGCGCTGCTTGACTCAAAGACCGACCCAGTCCAACATCTTCGTAAGATTCGGAGTCCTAATTTTCCGCCCTCGGATCCATAGCGCGGCATCACACGCTTTTCGGAAGCGAACACGTCTCCCGGAGCGACTGCTGAATAGAAGCTCAATTTGCCCAAGACTCCCAGCAGATATCCCTTTGCATTGTTTTTGTTCGGAGAAAAGACGAGCCAGGCTCCCATATCGCATCCTACCTAGAGGCTCCGTGTTGTTCCAGAGCAAGAAGAGCACGACTAGCGTGTGAGATCATTGATTCACGTATAAGATTAATGGATCGTAGTAGGAGGAGCGGGATCTGACATTCATTTCCGCGGCAGGACCCCCAAAGGTGAGTGGTTTGCATCTCAATGCTCGACCTGCAGATGCTCGACATGCGGATCTTCTGACAGTGAAGGTCGCACTCGGTCTATATATTGAGAGCGCTCCCGGGGGGCAGCTCTTCTGCCGTTGGACGGCGCGGCGTGTTGACGAGCGACGTGCAAAAACCCAGGAAACACGAAGTTCTCCGCATGATTATTAAGGTCGCGAATGTATTAGGTGTTTTATATACCCGTTGATAATTATCAACGGGTATATAAAACACCTAATACATTCGCGACCTTCCTGTCTGGACACCTTCCCTCCGTAGCTAAGAAACATGTGTTATACAGGCTGCGAGACGACAGGGGGAAGCCCGAGCTCTGAAAGGTAGGAGGACCCTCTAACAACAGCCAACAAAGTCCTACTCCATCGACGGAGCAGCTAGAAACTTATTCCAAGATTGGCTACACTTGGCTCTTTCACGCGCCTGTAAACATTCCAGCCAACTCCTTAACGCGCATACAAAAAACACTGACGACAAACTTCGTTAGCGTATGTATCCGCTCTCCGCCCGCAGTCTCATAGCTGTCGATCCACCTAATTTGATAATCCATGTGGTGGGAAACCTCCTCCGAGGTGCCGTCTCCGGTCTGTTTTACCCCATCGAGGGAGGGGGGAGTGAATAGTATATATTAATTTGATGGGAACTGTGGTTTCGCTTGCGCCCGGGCGGAAACGGTACAAGCTGCTCTTACAATTAGTCAGAGTGACTCTTCTCCATGATCGGTCTCCTATTGAGATTCGTTCTCGCATAGCTCGCGATAATCATTCGCGGTGGGTACAGAGAGAATATTTTGAAAACACCCTGAACTGCTCTCAGCGATAGAGCTCTGCTCTCCACGTAGTAAGATGCTTCTTGTAGGACAGGCCGCCGGGAAATACCAGGACATTCTCTAGACGAAGATCCCTTCCGGTAGAGTGGCTCCTTCGAAGCTTCTCTGTTGAGGAGCGGGGTCTCACATGGATTTCCAAGCAATCTTGCAAATGAGATTGCAGGGAGAAGTTTTTTTCTACGCGCGCGCATCTTCTAAATATATATACCCAGAGCCTAATCCAATTGACGGATTTTTCTTGAATATAGATAGCGAACAATGAGTGTACTCTTTAGATACGGGAACAGTCTGTCTCGTGGCGGAAGCGTCGTCGAGGTCACCGGAGCTAACGTGGAGGCTTCGACTTGTCTCCTGAAGCAAGCTCACGGTCGAGCTCCGTTGACACCGTACGAGGTCCTCCGGACGAGATGACGATTCACGGAGTCTTCTTGTTTATCCGACCGACAGCATGAACTTATCGGAGCAGCTAACACCTATGTCAAGGACTAGCGAAAATATTTACTCAGGCTCCGAGCAGCTCGAGGACGCAGCTGCGGAACAGACGCGGCTCGAGGACTCGCGGCGAATAACATTCGATTCCTAAAAAATATCGTCGTACAGAGTGCCAAACATGGTTTTCCTAACAGCTTCGCGAGGGACTAACACGATTACTCGCGGAAGAGTTCCGGGAGACAGCTGTTGATCGAAGGCCTCTCTTTTAGAGATGTATGAATCGACCTCCAGCCTGTATCTAACACGCACGCCTCATGATTGCCCTCGTACAATTTGGTAGCCCGGAAGCACACCGATTCGGGAGTCGGCTCCAGATATCGATCGATTGAAACATCGGTTTTCGCGTCGATTGTCTTCAATCATGAAGCTCAGCTCATTCGAGTTTGCTTCTCTCACGAACAGGTCGACCGAGAAAGGGCTGTTGGTGTTTTCTCCAAAGTTCGTTAAATCTCGCTGGGACTCCTCATCGAAAGGCCTGGTGGTTTTCGGACTTTACGGGGGAGCCTTCCACCTCTGGAACATATCTAGCAAGAAGAATTATGGTTCGAACAGCCGCCAATGACTTCCGGTCCACTGTTTTGTCCGAGCGGGTCTTCACCAAGGACGACTTCCCGACGGAACGTTCGTCCCTCAGATGGACTGAGCAAACACCACACAAGGGGGAACCGATAAATTGAGTTTTCTGAAAAAAAATAGGAATTCCTCAGGAGTGATGGAGGACGGGAACTTTCGGGTAGACGCAACAGTTTGTTCGCTTGCGACCGTTGTTGCGGAGCGCAGAGCTCTAGCTCTCCTCCCGGGTGAGGGTTGAGGGAGGGGCTTGAGCCCTTCCACTAACACGCCGGTTGGACCTTCGGTCACTTTGTCTACGTCCACCACTTTTCCCGGTGGTCTTCCGGAAGAAACCGAAGTCCACGAGTGCTACCCCGGAGAGATTCAGAAGAGCTTAGTGATCGTCCTCTCCCCGCTTGCCAGAAGCCGGCGCCCGCGAGCGCGAAAATGCTCGGAACGCCAAGAAGCTGATTTGGCGTAAGGCCCGGAATAAAATCAGGATGAACACCTCATTCTGGTGTGGAGTTTTTCTCTTGTTCGCGCTGTCGGTTCGTCCAGGCAGCTGTTGCGTGCCATCGGAAGCCATGAACGAAACTCTAGATGGTGACAACTGCGACGACGTCGCCAACCTGACATTCGGTAATCGGAGCCGTGATCGAGACCACATCATGGTACGGGAGCCGCGATACATGCCAATCGAGTACACAGTGTTCGGCACCGCCACGATGGGCATCATTTTCATCGTCGGTGTCTTCGGTAACGTCATGGTTGTACTCGTGGTCCTCCAGACGCGCTCGATGCATACCCCAACGAATTGCTATCTGGTTTCGCTGTCGGTGGCGGATCTAATGGTTCTGCTCTCATCGATACCGAACGAAATCATGGCTCAGTACATCCTGGAGGACGAATGGGTCTGGGGTAGTGCAGGATGCCGAATTTTCATCTTCGCGCAGTACTTGGGAATCAACGCATCGGCCCTATCTATTACAGCTTTCACCGTCGAGCGGTACATAGCAATTTGTCTACCGATGAAAGCCCAGACGATGTGTACGGTCAAGAGGGCCAAGAAGATCATTCTGTGCGTCTGGTTATTTGCTTCTTGTTACTGTGCTCCGTGGCTGTTCTTCTTGACGACGACGCGACCTATACACTATCGAGGATTCGAAAGTTATTTCAAGGAAACGTGTACATTCTCATTGGCGCGATCGTTCTACATTCACTTTTTCTTCGCCGACTTCATACTTTTCTACGTAGTGCCTCTGATAGTGTCGTGTGTCCTTTACGGACTAATGGCAAGAGTCTTATTCAACACCGATATCGCGTCCGCCACCAAAGCGAATGGAGACACGAAGACCAACACGAACAATTCTTCGAGGATCCAGGTACGCTTCATAATAATTATGACTTTATGCTCGATCTTCCCGGTTTCAGGGCGCGCGGCTTCCGCCTCCTTTCCCTCGTTGCGCCGCGGGAGGACAAGACTTGTTGTTCGCCAGGAGGGTAGTACTCCGCGCTGTCATTCGATGCCGGTCACCATCGATGCGATACCTGAATGTATGAGAGAAGGTGCTGTCCGAATAGAAAGGGTAATTCGGTGTAGATGGAACCATACAGATGGCTTGCTCCGGACATCCGCCCGCAGACCGGGATATTATAATGGGGAGCATGTTCCACGATTATGTTCGGATGGGAGGTCGGGAGGAAGATATTGAGCGGCTTCCGGCCCCCGATTTTCCGAAGCTGACCCGGAGAACTTCGCGAATGACGAGCTCTTCCTGGGTGGAACATACAGCACTTCCCGAAGCTTCGAAGTATCCCTCGTTCCCGGATCCGCGCTCACGGGCTTGCTAATCTCCGTTCGGGAGATACCATCCCTAGATCTCGGCACTGCTTGTGTGATCCCGGCGGAGACATTTCCCCCCAGATTCCATGGAGGATTGGGTCCTGCGAAAAATCGGCTCACCCAATTCAGCTGCGGAACTTGAATGGTCTTCTTTGAATGGTCATGAAGTCGAGTACACGAGAAACTTGTTCTGCAAGTCAATTAGGCGGGACGAACAAGCTTGGCTCGAGAAACAAGAACATTAGGACAGCTCGCCATCCCCAAACTTAGCAGAAGTTTCCGGCAAGACACCGGAAGATGCAGAGAAAAATTAGGCGGCTAGTTGTTCAGCAAGCTTCTTGTGCACCGTCACATGCCGATCGAAGCGTTCGGAGTAAGTAATCGGGAAGGATCCGATGAGAAGTCGAGCAAATGCTCTGAATTCATCTCAGGAGGAGGGCACAGTAAACGAGTTAGTATGTTGTGCTCCCATCCATAGCTTCATCCGGCTCTCCGCCGAGCTCTAGGGTCCAGGGGATATCGGATGTCGACCCCCTGATTGCAAGTGATTGTGAATTTCCACTCTCCGAATGCTCCGATTTATCACTGGGGCCCACATTCATCGCAGTATATCGTGGGAGTCTCGAGCTACAAAGGCGGATCTGGCGGGGAAAATCTTCCGACCTACAGCAGTTCAGCACGTTATCAGCAGGAGTAGTCTGACATGGTCTCCGGAGTCGCGGAACTCTATCTAGAAGAAGTCGACTGCGAAGAAAAAGAGTTCCCAAGCCTTGACAAGTGAAGCGATTAACTTTTGAGTATTGGCCAAGGATTTGGGATTGCTCCCGTTTTATTTGCGCTCCAACCAAGTAGAATGAGCGTTTCTTCCGCCTACAATGACGTTACCCGCCAAACGATCCCGAAAGGAAGTGGTGTTTGACAGGCATTCGAGGTACGAGCGAATCCAAACATCCGTGCTCCCACAGAGGAGGGAATGTTCGTGCATAGATGGAAAGTAAGTGTGCGGCGAGACGCACGACAAACTTTGAGGAGGACGCTCGGGCAGGGTATGTTGCCCGCTAAGCGAGGAAGCATGCCGGCGTGCTCGAGATCGCGCTGTAGTGTCAGCCATGCCCTCGTCGTCACTCATCTCATGGTGCGTCGAGGCCGCGTTCAAGGTCCCTCAGCACGTTTCAGTCGTAGAAAGAGCCGCGTGGGAGTCAGCTCCAAATAATTGTCCCCCCTTCTTCCCCCCCCCCGCGGAGCGGGTCCGCTGGCTCGCGCGAGCCGACTCGATCTCGGCCCATCGTCAGAGACGGAGAGCGCATCTCCCACTCAATCAATCGAGCCGCACCGATACCGTCTCCACAAAGTCTTGCCTTCTGCCTTGCTCAGAAAATGATGCGACTTGCTGCTGACCAACGTCGACTCGTCGAGATGGAGACGATTCTCTCACGAGCGGGACGACATCAAGAGCGGATACGGTCGTGGCGGCCTCGGAAAACGCTCATGTGAGCCATGCTGGGGGCCCGGAGACGTTGGTAACGCAGAGCGGATGCAGGAACGACCTTCGAGCTTGTTTCCCAACTAGACGCCGCGTCGCTCTCCACAAGTGTCGGCGCACATTCTACCGCATCCAAAACAACGGCTGACGACACCGTAAATTCTACCGCTGTTGTCGAACGAGCCTGCGAGCCTCAGGAGGAAATGCGTGGGGTGCACAGTGGCTCCTCGGACTATGGCGGCGATCTCAGCAGATGCATCCGTCCATGCTTCAAGAGGAACGCTCACAACAAAAGACTTGTTTTTCCTCCGACGATGTCACCGCGTGGAGAGTCAGAGATCTCCGCCGTCAGACGGACGCGGATGCCTAGATGAGCTCATCTCATGCACGGAGGGACCATGTTTTCACTCGTCTCCCCGCAAGCCCTGCTTCGCTCCGACGACTCCGCCTCCGCGATCAGAAAAGAATGCGCATCATTTCCCGGATGAGTAATACAACAGTTTAAAAGGCTCCTACCTGATTATTACGCAGGCTCATTCCTCGCGGCATCGTTTGCGCCCTTCTCGCAGCTCTGCTTTCCTCGCACGATTGTGCCATGCTGCCACTCGCGCTGTTCATGTGAGCGGTTGATATCGCTACCTCCGTCCGGTTTCCGTTCCGAGATGAATCCTGGAGAATCACCAGAATCTCTAACCGTGTGCTTCCCTCCGCACGATTGACGGGAGATCTGCATCCGCGGATTCGAAACAAACAAATAATGTCAAAACAGGTAGGAGGCGCCTCTGGTTCCTCAATCAGTCGTCGACTGCGACGTCGATGGGATTCTGCGCAGTGTGCAGTTGGTGACTCTAGCGGGCTCAAGAGCTTGACCGGTTCGCTCTCAGACCGGCTCCGTGGGCATCTGAACCGCTTAACTAACAATGGAAGATCATTAGGCTGTCAAGGACGGCTTCTCTAAACTCAATATAAACGTCAAAAGTAGCCTCGAACATTTAGGCCGGTTGGAAGTCTTGAGATTTATTTAGATGAGAAATTTCGGAGCAGCAAACTCCGGCTTCCGGTCATGTAGTCTGCTCCAGGCTCCGCTTCCGGTATATCGTCGTACTCGATAGCAGCAGTTCAATAAAACCCTCAGGCTTAAATTTTACACCGTTTTGCGCTTCTCTCAGAGGGAGTATTTCCTAATGAATATACGGGAGACTCTACAGGTTAAACACGGCTTCACGTTCCGAGCGGCCAAATCCCCCATTCTCAGAGTGGGCTTAAGCGAAAGCCTATCTGAGCGACGAACTCTTTCTGTCCAAGCGAGCGGCAACGCCGCTGGCCTTCTTAGTGTCCATGAGGCCGCCAGCCTTTTCTCCAGCACTCCCGGGCGGATCCAGGCGGAGCAAGAGAAAAAACCGGTCGAGGGGACGAACCATCTAGATGCTCACTACACGGGAAATCTGCTCGCTTACAGGTACACCTCGAGGGGATGCCGTTGATTGAACTAAGCAAAGAATTATTCTCCGACCCCCAGAGGGATCGCTAGTTCCTGATGTACCGTTCTCTTTTCTCGTTCCTGAGCTGCCGTATGGAAGCTCGATCCTGCATCGGTGGCACAAGAAAAACGTAGTATCTCGTCGTGTTTCCGGGAGTGAGTCCACGGGCGAGGAGATGAAGTCTTCGAGAACGGAGGAGCGATCGAGGCTCAATGAGGAATAGAGCATGGAGGGCGAATAGTAAGGGACGCAGATTGAGGGTCGGGACCGGTTGGTCGAGTGGAGGAAGATACGCGAGATCTACGAAGGAGACTGTGAGCGACAATCCAAGAGAATGGTGAACGACAGCGATCGACGAGGATCCATTCGGCGGCTCGTCTGAGCGACGATCATCAGAGCAGAAGCCGCCACCGCCGCTGTTGCCGCACAAACCACTTTATTGGTATTCACTTCGATCAACTTGGTCGTATCTTGCTTCGGAATGCATATTTCAACGCAAGACTAAGTCTCTTATTCTGTCTGGTGGGGCGAGTCGGATCGGGTCGAACCTTTGTGTCAAGATCCTCTCACCTCCCAAGTTTCGCGGCGAGTAATCGTTCCGCTGACTTGTCCGATCGACCACAAATAAGCTCCCGAGTCGCTCCCGAATGACTCGCGGAAAAGCTGAGCAGCTGACCGGGATCCGCGAGGTGTCCGATAACCTCGCCAGCCGGACACACTACATCCCGTGCGTAGATTCCTCCCTCTGCCGTAGGTTCCAGCGTAAGGGGAGGGCGATGCCGTCACGAATTCGTCCTCTTCTGTAAGAGGTATCGACAGCTGTGGTGAGCCCCGATTTTCTCCCATTTCCTTCTCATTTCCTCCACGGACCTCGCGGCACCGACTTGCAGCTCTCTCGAATTTTCCGAATGCCGTCGATCTTTTCTCCCGCTGCGCAATATCGAAATTCTCATGGCTAGCGGCCTCCGAGCGCCGTCCCCACGAAAGATGAAGGATGGAGACTCGCAGCGGCTCTTTGTCATCGACGAGCACGACGATCGGGGGTGTTGGACAAGCACCGTGGCTTGTTTGAATAGAGCAGCCGAGGAAGTTCCTCCATATATTAGCGCTTATCTGGATAAGAAGTCGGCTCTGGATGATGAAACGCTACCGCGGACGAGGCCTTGCGGTCGGCCTCCGCACTACGAAGGAAAGGGGGGGCAGCTCGAACTCTTTATGCGAACGATTAATCCTCTCCCTCTCCAGAACATTTTCATCATTGAATTCGAGTTTCACCCAATTCGCCCGACTTCGTTCGATTCGTCGATGGCCATGGTCCATGGACCGATCCCTGACGTCCGTCGTCCGTAGTCTTCCAAGAGCGTCGCTTTCGTCCTGGAGTCCGCGTGTTAATCTCTTTCACAAGCCTCCGCCCCGAACACAAGAGAGCTCCCGCAGCTTGCATCAATGGCCTTTGGGCTCGAGCGATCCTCAGCGACTTGGCGAGGCTTCCTCTTCTTGGTTATCCATTCCAAATATGTAATATATCGATCTCATTCATCTTCGTCGACGTCGTCCAATCTCCTTCTTGAAGATCGTTTGACCGCTATGCGCCGGCGCTCATTGTTTCACAGTCAATTGGAGCGTCCACAGGAGCTGAGGCTCCTTTCATCAACTATCGACATTGTAGCCCAGCGATGGGCTCAACCAACACGTTGGAACTGGAACTCGCGAGGCTCCGATCCAGCGAGCAGCAGCATTTAGCACTTTGATGAATATTCATGTCATGAATATTCGATTCAAGAGGAAACCTCAGCCTTTGCAAAGACCTCGGCCTCAGGCTCCCAGCCCAAGTGCCCTCCGGATGACGTGCTTGATAGGCCTATTCCTCCGCCAAGTTCCATGTCAACTACCTACGGACGCTTTGCTCGATCCTAGACGGTGACCGTTGACGGACTTCATCATCAAATCGTTTCCGAACATCGGTTTGAACATTCTACCGTGATCGTCGAATGGGTCTTCAGTCCGCATCAGGGAAATAATAAATATATTCCGAGGAGCCAGATCGATGATAATCCGAAAATGGGGAGGAGCTGTCGAATTCGGAAGCTCCGAGTCTTAGGGTCGCTTCTCAGCCAGCCAGTCGGTGGCTCGACTGGCCGAGAGACGATCGGAGAAAAACAATGGCATGCGAAGAATTCGCTGTGTGAGCTGAGTTTTTGGAGACGGCTTCGTCAATGCTGTTCGATGATGCTCTCCTATTACGACTCGTCAATGGTTCTTGCCGCTGCTGCAGCCTACTCCCATCAACACTTCTCACTTCCCAGTGCGGAAGGACTTTCTCAAAGCAATTTGACGGCAGGGAGTTTTGTTGCGAGAACTGTTCCTCAGGGCTCATGACAATATTTTGTTTCGAGCAAAACAGGAAAGCCCTAATAAGAGGCGGGCTTTCTGTGAGTGACTCTCCTGAAGGGAGAAATAACCCGAGAGTGTTCGTTGTGTTCTCATGCTGCAGCGCGACCGAGTGCAGATGGGTAATTTATAGGCGAACACACCTAATTCATGTGTGGAGGGCTTTCCACACGCTTCCTGAACCTATCAGGGGAAACGGCGTGTTTGCACGGCGTCTCTATCATATAAATGGACGTTCGGCGAATCTGCTGTGGGTTCTGAGTAATCTACGCCAGTCATCGGAGTGAGCTCCTTTGCCGAGCCGGACAACGAAAATGGTGGATGATTATTCCCGCCCGTGCACGACGCGTTCCTTGCGCGGGCTTCCCGGGCGTTGTCCCATTTCCGTCAGAATCACGGTCCGAACTCGCAGGGCAGCGCTTCCTCCCTAGTCCACGTCCATCGGATGGCGTCGACGCTGATTCGACAAGTCCCACTCCGGTTCGGGGCGTGGAAAGGTGCGCAAGCACTGATTCGGAAGGGCGGAGAAATATCTCTGTAGGAGTAAGTAGATCAGCGACTCGGAAAAACTTGCCGTCCGCCAGGAAGTGACCGCTGCGGGCTATATCCTCGAGGAGCAATCGGAGATTCCGCCTCTGACCACTCGTATATTTCGGCGGTTCTCCCCGACTTGTGCACCAGGTATCGCGCTCACAGAAGGCAGCAGTTTAGCATCGAAGCCACAATGAGCGAAATGGCGAATTAGAATTCCGCGGCCAAAGCACAGGGACGAGCGGAAGACGTAAGGGAGAGAGAAGATTTTCTCTAGATGCAGATTACTCGCTGGCTCTGGAGTAGGCGAGGGCAGAGCTGGCACTATCATCCATTCGCTTTGCAAAGGCCGGACTCGCAACGAGTGGACTTCTTGGAGTGGAGTAAGTAAGGTTGAGCTGCGGCGCGCGATTCCGTCTCGCAGACCGTCAGGACTCCGCTCAAAGCCCTTTCAGCTCGTCGTCATTAAACTCAACTCGGTCGAGGTAGAGGAGATTGTGTCGCGGGAGGCTTCGCCGAACTGCTCTCGGACCCGGCTATGGTCTTCAGAGTCGCTCGGCGAAACTTTCTTCGGAGAAAACCTGTACCACGCAGATATTACTTCGGCATTTTCCCCGAATTCCTAACTGCTCGTTCGGCAGATGTCCTCGGTGTGGGTTCTGGTTGATGACGAGTTCGCAGCTCCGGTCCCGTCTGAAGCTTCCCGGAAGGCGGAGCCTCGTACAAATTCTTAAACCTCACCTGCAGTCTCAATTATGCTCTCATTCTCTCAGGTCGCTCTGAATCGTCATCCATCGACCCCCACTGAGTGAACTGGGCGAGAGCACCTATTCACCAAGATGATTCTTCCTCCGCAGGTGGTCAAAATGCTCATCGTGGTCGTGGTTCTATTCGCGACTCTGTGGCTGCCTTATCGGATACTGCTCGTGTACAATTCATTCGCCAAAAAGCCCTACTTGGAATTGTGGCATCTCATGTTCTGCAAGACGCTCATCTATGTGAATTCAGCAATTAACCCGATTCTATACAATGCGATGTCGGTTAAGTTCCGGCGGGCGTTCCGAAGAACCTTGTCATGTGGTAAGCACCGAGGAGCTTCTTGCACCGCTATCAACAACAACGTTGGCCACAGGGCCGGTGGACAACTGCAAGAAAACAGCGGTTCCCACAATCCCGCCGGAGGACGATCCCCCGGCAACCGGTCCACGTTGTCGTACAACCACTCGACAGCCAGTAGCGGAACGATGAGGCTTAGCACGACCACGACGCTGTTGGCTAGCTCAATCAAAAGTAGCAGTGGACGAGGCAGTCCTGCGACCGTATGCCGGCCTGTCAGGAAGCCCGACCTGCTCCAGCAGATGCTCTGAAATCGTTATTTTTTTTGTGTTTATCTTCTTCGCGCTTCGATAGTGTGCGTGCGAGCGAGCGACTTAGGCAGCGAGCGTGTGTTGTTGCCGTTGTTGTTGTCGTTGTTGTTCAGGTTGTGGTGCTGCTTCACGCGAGGCCATAGAATCGAGTCGATTCACATGTTCTTACTCACTTAGATGCTTTCCGGATGACGTGCCCCGGAACGTGCTGTTCTCTTCATGTCGATAGGCGAAGGGAAAATGAATAGCTCAACGAAAGCATCATCTCAGTTCTCGTTGCTCGTAAGAGGGGATTCGAGCTTTCGGCTCTCCTCAGTGACGCAGTCTTGAGGAGCGGAAACAATTTTGCGCGCGTTTTTTCTTCTTGCGTCGTGCTCTTCCGGACAGCTCTCGCCCGGGGTCATTCATGCCCTTCATTCGTTTATTCCTTCATACATCGAGTCAGTGAGTCACGAAATCTGTCGAGGACGCTCGCTCGACAGTCAGTCAGCGCAGACTCTCCGACCTAGGGTCGGATTTGTACTGAATTTGTACCGCTCCCATCTTGACTGCGCCGGACGTTGTTCATGTTTTTCTCTGGATTGTAAAGCACTGCAATGACACAGCGAGCGGAACTCGACCTTACGAGAGTCCTTTCAATGAACGTCGTTTCCCTTGATGTCTGAATTCGTTATGAGCTTTATAAAGTCGGAAGTTGAGAGCATGGGTGAAAGCTCAAATAGAACGAGCTCTATTCGAGTGGAGTAAGAACCGCATTTATCACTCAATCAGGAACCGTCGGGATGGGAACGAAGAACTCTTTCGGGGATGTTGAACGATGGGCGCTGACGAATCTCGAGCTCACGAGAAAGCTGACCGCTGGAGCGGGAATATCTATTTTGGGAGCCGGGGGAAGACAGGGGGGAGGTCGTAAGCTCGGCTCTCCTAGCACCAAGTTGTCACGTTGCGTTGTTAGCTCTGAGCTGACATGGACGTCCGGAAGCCGGCCAGAGTCGCACATGATGCGGTGAAACATGAGCGCGCGCATTCCGCGTCGCCGCCGATTGCTTACAACGCGTATACGACAGAAATGATGCTGTTGTGCAATCCCTGGATCGGACGGAATGCGATGGCGAGTTCCGATACGCTCATTGGCGTGAAGCGACAGCGGGCGGAAAAGCAAAATAATTATCGACGACTCGCTAAGTGGGATGGGTACCGTTGCGGTGGAGGGAACAGGTCGTAGCGTTCGGTGTGGAGATTTCCCGGTTCGCGTTTTACGTTGAGCTGCTCCGCCATTCAAGGAGTCTGACTCGAACACCTTTCCACATCAAATTCGAGATTGAAGGACGTTCGAGATGGCCACTGTCAACGTATCTTTCTACCAGAGAGGCGGGAATTTGGTAAATAACAACTGTATTCGATATTGTGTATAGCTTGAGAAACTGTGGTCAATGGCCGCTCTCTGTACAGCGCGAAGAAGTAGCGGAGAACGACGATGAATATCGACGCAAATGATGCTGAAGGCGGGTCTTGCATCAGAGAACAAGAACTTGTTGGAAGGGTCGGTTGCGTCAGCGCGAGAGTTTCGCATCATCTCTGATGGTCATGGCCCCAATGGAGTCCATAGACGACCCGATGAGCTCCGTTCCGGATATGACGCTTCCCTGGACACCTAATTATGAGGAGGAATAACAATTACGAGTCCCAGGAGATGGTCAGCCGCTTCCGACTCGAATCGAGACGAGTTCACGCCGAACACAACACTTGACCCTCTCCATGAGGAGATGGTCATCGTCGACGAAATCCTGGGGGTCGCGGGAGCATCCGCTGAATTTCTGACCGGATGAACAACTCGAGCGACCTCAGAAGCAGAAATCGAGTCGATCTAGAGCGAAGGTAATCCATCGGTTCTCTGTGAGCGTTTTCCACGATGTGCCGGAGAACGTCACTTCCCTTGACTAAACTGCACCTCGTTCGTAAATGTTCAACCCGAAAGGACCGGTTTTTTCTCCGCCCGGTTATTCCCTGGTACTGTAATGTATTTCCTTTCTAATTCCGAAAAGTTCTCTAATCCTCACGAGACATGCTTGAGACCTCGACGCCGGAACTGTATGACCCGAGATATGGTCATCGCCCCCATTCGCTGGATTGAACTCTCCCATCAACAATCCGTACGAAAATCATGATGATCTTTCAGCCTGCCATCAGCTCACGATCGGAAGCTCCCACGAAAAACTTCATAGGACAGCAGATGGAATGGTCCCCGAATGTGACCTTCGTTCCCTCATGACTCATGAATATCATCGTTTTCGAGTTCCTGGACGAGGACGCCTCGAAAAGTTCGCATGTGACGGCGTACCGTGCTGTTTAGGTTCAATTTGCTCTTGCGTGTTGACCCACGCGACCCGACGCGATCGAATAAGCAAATGGCTCGATTCCTTAAAATGTTTCATGCTACGATTTGCCAAAGCTAACGCTTAGCTTAGATGCATGTCTCCACCAGCTTGCACCTGGAGCCGATGAAAACGACTGCTCTCGTGATCTTGATGATGGATAGTGGATAGTGACCGACTGATATTAGGAAATAAACTCACGGGATACCTCCGCTTTTCACAGGTCCCAAAAGCAGATTCGAGGACCGCAGCTACACCACAACAATGACAGTTCGACAAACTATCAACCATCCGAGACTCCCTAAAGAAGAATACTAGTGAGACGGAATGTGACGGACGGCGACCCGCCACTGATACACGAGCAAGACTTGGCAGCCGACACCCTGCGGATCCATCGAATATTTTGAGTTGTCGGTTGAAAAGGATTCGTGTATGTAAAACCGGGCTCTGAACCGGCGGCAACAACACCAGGGGAATTCGTCGAACATGACTTCGAGATTCCCTAGATAAAAGCGTCTCTTGGTTGGACTGTATCAATTTTCGATGAAAAGAGAAAACCCAACAAAAAGCTTGCTTGCTAGTCAAGTCAGAGGCCCGGTGCGTAACCGGGATCATATATGCGAGAGAATTGCTTCACCTTGGCTTCCTTGAGGAAGCGCATTTGGATGTAAATATTATTTCGTCGGTCCATCTGAAGTGTACATTATACGGTCGTAAATACTATATAAGTGGCGATTGGAAGGTGAATTCGGAGCCGATCAATCGGATGAATGGCTGGCTCTTCGGTTCGTACATTCCAGAGGGTGAGCGTATGTTTCAAGAGCCTGTTGTCAGGCATCGCCACTAGATACATTGTTGACCTTTGTCAGAGCGGGATATATAGAATGAATCGATTGGAATCTCTTGAATTCTCAAAAGCTCTTTGATTTCATATTCTGTGGGAGTATCCGTACTATGAGGAACAGCTCTAGAGAAAATCACGAGTACTTCAGTATATCGAATCGCGCGTGGCATGCCGGGTTGCAACAGAGATGTTGAGTGCGCTCCCGATTCGCTGTTCCATTTGGGGTTGCAGAAACGGCAAACTTCGGTCCCAGAGAATATGTTTCACATTGCTCGACTCTCGCGGGAGCTCGGCCCTTAATGCGAGGATTACCAAGACGCACATCCGGTATGAATATGCAAGCTCCAATGCTCTCATTAGTGCTCAGCATAAATATTTCCGGCAGTGCGCCCCGCACTACAATGGCTTCTCGAGAGATTTGATCGCCGCAATTTCGTTCGCAGGCTGCGTATCCATCCAGTCAGGGATGTTCATCTGCGAGTGTGAGGGAAGTTCTCGAAGGGGAAAACTATGCTGTCGGATGTCACAGCAGCGTTCGTCGTCCGTGCCAAGCGGCATTTTTCGGCGGCGACGGCAGCGAGTCATTATTGAAATATTTCCTCGACAATCGAACCCCACCAGATGGGGAGTCAGATGCGATCTTTACAGTTTTTCCATGGCGACCCAGAGACAGGAGAAAATCTTCCGGAGCGAAATCTCTGGATGATGGCCGAACTTTATTAAATCCCGGCTTCGATCGCACCTCTCGAAGCACAAACTGAATTTCGCCTACCACGGGCACACCTGCCCGAACAGATCGGGGCAGAAGGACGAGTACCGCCCCCGATTCGTGCAGAAGATCTTCAAACGTCACGTGAGGGCAGGGTAGGGAGTTTGTTCATTGTCCGACCAGAGGAGACAGTCCCATACCTGACTATCACGGATTTGCGAGCGCTGCGTAGAGTCAACCAGCTGGAAAAGCTAGATGAGCATCCCGCCCACCCGTCGGATGAAGAGCAGGGCGCGAAAAAAAACACGGGTGACTTCCGTCTCTGGTTGCTCACGGAAGTTTAAGTTGAGCATGAATCGTCGCTGAGAGGGAACACGGTTTCCTGCTAACGCAAACGGAGTGCGGACCTGACACTGGTGACTATCCCCTGGAAAACGACATGCGACGCAACTCAGACTTTTTGCCAGCAGCAGAACGCGATGTGATTCTCTCCCGAGCTAAAAATAAGTTTGGTAGGGTTTGAATTTGTTTGCCAGGAATAATGGAGAGCCGCGCCTCGAGGTTGGAACCGCGAGCTCCTCTTCTGCTTGTTAGAACGTGCTCGGGTCAAGATACTGCGACCTGTCCTTGGGTGATCAACATCGAACTTCGGATAGAGCCCTTGGGAGACGAGAGTCGGGGAGGAAGAAATGAAGGAGAAGCACATCGGGGAGGATGTCCAAACTCCATCTCTGGGCGAACCTTGAGCTCGGATTCGACTCTCATATCGATTCCAATCAATACTCCCATGGAACACGTTGCCAGCAATCTTGACTCGAGTCTCCAATGATATTCCAAGCGGAGAAATACAGACCAAGAGTCGTGTGGAACTCTGTATTCTCCCCCTCTTCGTGGCGGAGTCTATGGTAGAACGTATCGTGCACCTTAAAGACCTACCGCATAGCGGGAGTCGCCTCGCTATCCGCAGGGGATCTGAAATCGACGAGTGTATATCACTCATCCCGGTCCTAATATCCCTAATACCGTACAGATAACGAACCTTATTTATCGGGAAATCAACGGGAAATAGTAT